CCCCCCCCCCCCCCAAATCTCCACCCTCCCCACATCTCGTAGTTTCTCGCATAATAGACGCACATTTGATCACGTGAACAGAAGTCTGCAGTTTGGAACACGGCGCTCCGTTTGAAGAATATATAGCAGTCGAAATGTTTCGGCAATCACCCGAAGGACGAGGAGATGAATTCATACATATTCATCCTGACAGAGTATCCCCAGCTAAGCACTTTTTCCCAGAAACGTGTACAAGCGCCGGACGTGGCAAATTATTGCAGATGTTGAATATCCAATCTCCTTGTCCGGGGTCTTCTACAAATTCCAGCACCTCCCCGCTAAGTTCTCCTGTGCATTCCGGTCCTCAGAGCTCAGGGGTTCCAAGGAGCAGAAATAACAGTTTCAGACAGGTAGGATGATAGCTCTTTATTATGAATTTTAGACGGTATTGAGTTCTAGAAAGATTGTAACTTTTACGCTGACAAGAACGCTCGCTTTTCTTCAGTGTGAAATTTGACACCTACTAATTCTTGCCACTGTCAGTTTCTGGGTTTGGGACAATTTAATGATTGAAAAGGAGGATTACAGATTCAGTGTTTATTCTTTGGTCTGTATGGCGTTAATGAAACACATCTGGTCATTGGAATAGTTGTCTAGAACACTGATTCAATTTGTATGGATAACTTGCAGACGTTCTTGTTACTGTACAAGACTCACAAGTTATTTTTAGACACATAAACTGAAACAAGCATTCAAAATAATAATAATAATAAAAAAAGACTTGAAAGCATTTACTTAGATTGCAGATTTGGATTAAAAAAAAATAAGTAGATGATTATGGCGCTATTTTTCAGTATATAATATTTAATTAACATTGATGCCAAATAATAATAAAATAATCTTTAGGACTTATCTTTTCTTCAGGTAAGAAATTTGTTTCATGAACTTTATTTTCAGTGGATGTCTGTTATATTTTCAGACTGAAATCCTGCGTCCAGATTCTCCTTGTTACCAACTCCCAGAATCCCCTACCACCTCATCTTTCAGTGAAGAGGACGATCCTTGTTGCTGCAACCGTTCAGTTAAGAACATTGTGTGTCGTGCATGTGGGCATATTTTCCAGGGGCGTGTGCGTAGACAGTGTCACCTGCATCCCAAAACTATCCACCTCATGGACATGGACTGCTGTCCAAACTGTAAGGCCACACATCTGAAGGAGTTTCGTGGATCCGTGGGAAGACACCAGTGATCCTAGTTAAGCTATAAACCAACTTTTCTCTGGTTGAGATACTTGCCCTTTCTGAACTTCACTAGCATTCCCTCAAGAATCTCAAGAAGCAAATCATTTAGTGTTGTGAGCTTTGTTTTTTTTTCAGATAATTTTTCACAGACTATGTTCATACTGGTAGAAAGATGTGATTTAGTGTAAAGTTAAAACTGCTGCAATCGAGGAAGCCCGCACAAAACTGAAATGTCATTCATAGGAAAAGGAATCAACATCATATTTGTTCTCTTAAACTAAGAAAAGGAAAATCCATCACAATATGATATGTCAAAACAGAGAAAATAAGTTAAATGTTTCCATTTTCTTTTTTTAAAGCTGATTATCTGCGTAGCATCTGGAAAAACTGGAGTTATCTTACATAAGCCTGTAATAGGATTAGCAAGTTGTATTACGTGGACTTATGCTCTTTAGATGCATAATTAGTCACTGTTTGTAATTTGACACTTTCTAGTTGGCCTAGTTGTGTAAACAGAGCTATTGTTTTACATGGGTTTATGTTTAAGTTTTTTATTTTGTTTGTTTGTTTTTCTCCTTTTTAGGACATTTTACTAAGCACCAAGCTAAGAACTGGGAATCATTCTTTGAGAAGTTTTTATAAAGCTGTTTTTTGTTTTGTTTGAAAATTAAGGCATTTTGTATCAAAATAGTGTGAATGGGTTTTATTTTGTCTTTTTTTTTTGTTTATGCTTAATTTTCATAACTATCAACAATATGAGGAGAAAATTTTCATTTTATTTAAGATAAGCTACATTGTTTCAGACTTACGTTCATTCAACGGGGTAACTCATTTTGGAAAATCTGAATGAAAATTTTGTTTCTTAGTTTGCGCAGTCTCGATGTGAAGACTTTGTTGTCCTATATATACATTATCAGTTTTAAAATGTGGTGCTCTAGTCTTCAGATGTTTAAAAAATCCCCCCAACTCTTAATTTATTTTTTCAGGGGATGGCATGACACCCCTACACCCCCTCAAAAACTCCACATGTGAATATCAGATAGCTCTTACAGTGTCAGTTCTAGTCCCAGTAAACTTGGCCATCCTTCTTCTTTAGCTTTTGGGTCTCTCCTTGGCCATCCTGATGCTGTAAAATTGAGCTTATATGGCTGTTTAAGTAATATGCAAATCTGTTACCTTAAAAAAAAAACACAGGCCATTGAATGTATTTATTTCTATGTGTATACTAGCTTGATTGCAACTGGAGCTGTTTGAGTCATTTGAATGGAGGATGTTTTGCCCTGTCGGTGGTGGAAGTGAATTCAGCAATGAAATGGTCACAAAAATACAGATTCGAGCTTGGTTCCAAGAACATTTAACTGAAACTGTTTAAGGTGTAAAGATGGCACCAAACATTCTACTAAATTGGTACTGATCACAAATTGAGATGTGGAGGACGTCTGTTAACCCTACTACTAGCAAAGAGATGCTACTGCAATTCTGATGGTAACATCCATGATTTAGGCCCAAAATGCTTTAGGTTGGAAATCCATCGGAATACAGTTACAAGAGTGGAAATTAGAAGTACCAGCATTTAATCATATTGGTCAACTAGCTCACAAAATAGCATTAATATGAACCAGGTGCCAAAGTAGACTGAAGTATTAAAAATTCCATTAGTAAAGTAGACAGCCTGACAGGCTAGATATGGAATTGTTTTATGATTATAGTGGGTCGTTTCATTTTTCATGCAGGAAATTGGATGATTTTAGTCATTGACTTCCTTTGCTGTTGTAAAGAGTCACTGTCATAGTTGCCTAGTTATGATATCACGTCTTGGTGTCATTCCTGCTTAGTTGGTTTTATTGCTTACATAAGGCAACATATATAATGGAGGATGTCTTTTTTTTTACTAGAAAAAAGAATAAATAGCAAGTGATTTTGTGAGCAGAAAGCTTGCAGTATGCCAAAGACCATCCCCACCCCCCACCCATTCTGCTGTGGACTCTAGCTAATATCCTTGTCTGTTCTCCATAAAAACCAAAATAGGTGAATTTACATGAGTTTTCTGTGATGTTTTAGACCAGAACTTGAATGGGCCTGTTGCTGTCTGAATACGTCCTATGTATTGGTCACACTATGGTTTTATTGAGCATGTTACTGACTTGTGTTCTGTAACCAGACCTGTTAATGCTAGCATCCTCAAAGACCGAACCTTCGTGTTTACCATGTTGCAATCAAACGGCCAAATAACAATTCAAAACCATTGGGAAATGATAATATAAAATGCTCAGAATATTCATGGATTCCTCTCATTGGCAACTCTGACAGCCATAAATCTCCAGCTACCTCTTGGCTGTCTTTGTTAGGCCACATTGAACAATCTGTTCATACATCAGTGCATAATACATGAAGTTCAACATAAGAACAAAGAGCTACTGTTAATTGCCACAACCCAGTTCTATATGAAATGCCCTGTATTTAGGCAAGGATTATCATTTAAACACCTGTATGTTGGTTATTTGTTCATTTGGGTCTTGATATTTTACTACTACAGCTGTGAAAATTGAGAACAATGCCAATTTGTTAATATCTAAGTTAAACCCTGTAACAGGTGCATTCTATAGTGAAGAGTCCATCTTAGATAAAGCTAGTTGAGTTTTGAGAGATGCAAATATATAAGTGTATGTACTGTGCAGCTGTTTTAGAGTGGCTGTGGTAATTGAACAATCAGCTTTGAAAGAAAATATTTAAATTTCATGAAACATGCATATATAGGTTGTCAAGTTGTCACTCTAGTTAACTTGATCTTCATCGGTGGTAGTAGCTCTGTCTAAAGCTGATACAGGTAGAATAAAGTATTTTCCGTGTGGAAATAATGAACATAAATGTGTTGGGCCTTTTTTCTGTCAATTTTCAATTTGTTTTAAACCCTAAGTTATTTGTGGTGCATTTTAAACTAGAAAAGCACTGATAACATAGACCTGCCAAACTGGCTCAATTCTTCTTCTTAATTGACAGATGAATCTCTACCGAAATCAACTTGATTTTAAGTTGACCAATTTCCAACCTTTCCTGAAAATTTGAATTAAAAATTTGTTAACTTTATCAGGTAGGCTGTTAAATAAACCAACAAAGACAAAAGCATTATCTCATGGGTAAAGGCAACTTTAGAGATCCAACTTAGTAGTTTTAAGATGTGTGAACTTGGATCTAGTGCCAATTATAGTATATACTTTAAAAACAAGAACTTAAATTGCTGTAATATTATTTTAATTACGATATATTCAGAAACGTACAGGAAAAACAAAATAAAAATTGACTGCAGCCAAGTAGTAACTTTGGATTGTGCCGAATTGTGATCGTCTCAACTAGCACAATATTGCATACTAAAACTGCAATCATTCTTCTATGTATTAGACCAGTGGCTGTAGTGGAAATAAAGTAAAACACATAAAGCTGATGAATGGACATACAATACAACCTTGATTGTTGACGGATGAAAAAAAAATTTTTTTGGGTGGATTCAAGTGGCAATTTTTATACAAAACCCATGGTGATTGTGCCATTCACATGCATCAGCACCGAACCCTTCGCTTGATTCAGCAGGACAACTCCAATCCCCATACTGCCAGGATAGCACAGGGGTACCTGCAGCCAGGAGCAGATCCATATATTTGCAGGATACGTGGACAATTAACCAGACATGTTGACCAGACATTGAACATGCCTGAGATGAACTGGGCAGTCGACTTGGAAACCGCCAGACACAACCTGCCACTGTCAGAGTAAAGAATTTCACTGGTGGAAGAAGGGAGAAAGATGACTCATAAAACCATAGACCAAACTTGCATTTCGTTTTTTTTTTTTCTTTGCTGGAGAATATGAAGTCTTTAAGTGTGCAGCAACTAATCACAAAACATCCTGCTTCATGACACACTACTTGTGACACAACTCATGATTTTCCTATGTTTATTTTGGTGTATAAACAAAATAGTAATGCAAATATTAAAATAAATCCAACTGTCATGACCAAGCTTGCTTTAAATAGTTAGTGAATGCTAGTATCACTAACAATGTATTTGGGACCCAAAATGAGATTAACCTCTTCTGCAGGAATTTAGTGTCTGCTAATACAGGAAGAATAGAACTGAGAAAGCATTTCAACAATAAATAAATAAATAAATAAACAGTTCTAAGAATAAACTTTGCACTCTGGAGAAAAACAATATTTTATTTTTAAATTAGTTAAAACTAGCATAGAACAGACAGGTTAATATTTCACCCTGGCATGGACAAATCAGAAAACATTTTCATACAAAAACATTCAACCTTACATTTCCCCTGTATGTTACTGGCATACACCTTCACCTTGTTCTTTTCAGAAATACTGTCATTTATTTAACCCTTGCATATAAGTGCATAAAATAGTTGAATTCATAATAATACACTAGATTTAGACCCCATTCTCATACCTAGATTGATCTAGCAAGATCGACCCATCTCCAAGAAGATTCTCGCCATATTACATTCAGCTTAATCAGCTTAGATGTCTGGCATGCCTTCTGAAGCTGTTAAACAATAGTTAATTACCACCCAATGACTTGGGTAGGCATGCCAGACATTAGAGCGGCATAAGCTAAATGCAATAAGTGAGAAACCCCTAGGAGATGGGTCGATGCTGCTAGATCGATCTAGGTATGGGAATAGGGTCTTAGACACAAAATTCATGTTAAACCATAAGTCAAATAATTTTTTGCACAAATTGGATATCATTGACAGATATATTGTCCAATACAACCAACCCCGATAATCGTTTACTTAGTATTAAATATTTATACATTTTGTATCTAAAATATATATTTGTAAGATTTTTTTAAATGTTGATTAAAGGAGTGATGCGTCATTTAGCTTACGTGTTATTAAAAGTTGATAACAGTCTCAGACTGACACTTTGGTTCACTTAGTATACTATGATTGTAGTATCAATGTAGAAATATGATAAAGCTATCAATGATAAGGCATCACTTGCAGCACAAAACGTACTTCTGACATACCCTCTAGCAGGACAACAGATTGATTTTCCACAGATATGTCTCTAGATAAATAGACAGTCATTTTGGTCTGATGTCACTTCAGCCAAAAATGTCCACAATAATAACTGTGGCACTGGTAGCGGGTACTTCTGACACTGCAAAAATTTCACTGACACCGACGAATATATATATAAATGCC